AAACTGCCACACAGTTCTCCAAAAGACAGCACCATTTTACCTCTCTTTCAACAATGTATCAGAGTTCCAATTTCTCCACATCCTTGCCAACATTTGTTATTGCCTTTTTTACTATAAACATTCTAGTGGGTATGAAATGGTATCTTATTATGGTTTTAATTTGCATTTTTCTAATGACTAATGAATGGTATCAAGCATCTTTTCACTTTTCACTTTTCTTATTAGCCATTTGTGTAACTTCTTTGATGAAATGTCTGTTCATTCTATTGCCCATTATTTGATTGAGTTGTTTGTTTTCTAACTATTGAGTGGTAAGCATTATTTATATATTATGGATACAAATCCTTTATCAGATATGTGTTTTCCAGATATTTCCTCCAGTCTGTAACTTGTCTTTAAATTTTCTTGAAAAAACTGTTAATGTTTATTTATTTTTGAGAGACAGAGAGAGACAGAGCGTGAGTGGGGGAGGGGCAGAGAGACGGAGACACAGAATCCGAAGCAGGTTCCAGGCTCTGAGCTGTCAGCACAGAGCCCAATGTGGGGCTCAAACTCACAAGCCGTGAGATCATGACCTGAGCCAAGGTCGGACTCTCAACCGACTGAGCCACCCAGGAGCCCCAGTTTTCTAAATGATATATTTTGAAGTGCAGAGGTCTTGGAATTTTGATGATACCCAGTTTATCAGTTTTTTCAGTCATACAGTTTTTTTCAGTCATAGACTGCTTTTGGTCCAACAGAACACAGTCCATCTTTTTTTTTTTTTTTTTTTTTTTTTTTTTTTTTTTTTTAATTTTTTTTTTCAACGTTTATTTATTTTTGGGACAGAGAGAGACAGAGCATGAACGGGGGAGGGGCAGAGAGAGAGGGAGACACAGAATCAGAAACAGGCTCCAGGCTCTGAGCCATCAGCCCAGAGCCTGACGCGGGGCTCGAACTCACGGACCGCGAGATCGTGACCTGGCTGAAGTCGGACGCTTAACCGACTGCGCCACCCAGGCGCCCCCACAGTCCATCTTAAAAAGAAAGAAAGATGGGAATGCAAGCTGGTGCAGCCACTCTGGAAAACAATATGGAGGTTCCTCAAAAAACTAAAAATAGAACTACCCTACAACCCAGCAATTGCACTACTAGGTATTTATCCAAGGGGTACAGGAGTGCTGTTTTGAAGGGGCACATGCACCCCAATGTTTACAGCAGCACTATCAACAATAGACAAAGTATGGAAAGAGCCCAAATGTCCATCGATGGATGAATGGATAAAGAAGATGTGGTGTGTGTGTGTGTGTGTGTGTGTGTGTATGTATATGTATGTGTGTGTATGTATATGTATATACATACACACACACACACACACACACACACACACACATAAAATGGAGTATTACTCGGCAATCAAAAAGAATGAAATCTTGCCATTTGCAACTACGTGGATGGAACTGGAGGGTATTATACTAAGTGAAATTAGTCAGTCAGAGAAAGACACAAATCATATGACTTCACTCCTAAGAGGACTTTAAGAGACAAAACAGATGAACATAAGGGAAGGGAAACACAAATAATATAAAAACAGAGAGGGGGACAAAACATAAGCGACTCTGAAACATGGAGAACAAACTGAGGGTTACTGGAGGGGTTGTGGGAGGGGGGATGGGCTAAATGGGTAAGGGGCATTAAGGAATCTACTCCTGAAATCATTGTTGCACTATATGCTAACTAATTTGGATGTAAATTTAAAAAAATAAAACAAGTTAAAATAAAAAGAAAGAAAGGAAGGAAGGAAGGAAGGAAGGAAGGAAGGAAGAAAGAAAGAAAGAAAGAAAGAAAGAAAGAAAGAAAGAAAGAAAAAGAAATACACTGTCCATCTTAGAATAGGTAGAAGCTTTTTTTTTTAAGATTTTTTTTCTTTAAGTAGTCTCTACACCCAACGTAGGGCCAGAACTGATGACCCTGAGATCAAGAGTTGCATGCTCCACTGACTGAGCCAGCCAGGCGGCCCAGTAGAAGTTTGTTTTTTTTTTTTCAATGTTTTATTTTTGAGACAGAGAGAGACAGAGCATGAGCAGGGGAGGGGCAGAGAGAGAGGGAGACAGAATCCGAAGCAGGGTCCAGGCTCCGAGCTGTCAGCACAGAGCCCGACGCGGGGCTCGAACTCACGGAGTGTGAGATCATGACCTGAGCTGAAGTCGGACACTCAACCGACTGAGCCACCCAGGCACCCCTAGAAGTTTTAATCTAAGAAATCTTTGCCTAACGCAACGTCTGTTAACTATTCTCTTGTTTTCTTCTAGAAATTTTGTTTTAGCTGTCACACTTAAAAAGACTTTTTTTTTTTTAACATTTATTTATTTTTGAGAGACAGAGAGAGAGTGCAAGTGAGGGAGGGGCAGACAGAGAGGGAGACAGAATCTGAAGCAGGCTCCTGGCTCTGAACTGTCAGCCCAGAGCCCAACATGGAGCTCTGACTCATGAAGGGCAAGATCATGACCTGAGCTGAAGTTGCACACTTAACCACTAAGCCACCCAGGTGCCCCTTGGCTGTCACATTTAAGTCTATGATCTTTTTGAGTTAATTTTCTGTATATGGTATGACTTGAAGGTCATACCATAAGTTCACCTTTTTGTGTGTGGATAATCAGTTGTCCCAACACATTTGTTGAACAGACTATCCTTTCCCCCCAATGAATTGCCTTAGCACCTTTGTCAAATATCAATTAAATATAAATATAAGGATTTATTTCTGGACTCTCAGTTCTGATCTATTAATCTCTATGTCAATCCTTATACCAGTACCACTGCTGAGGAGATCTTAATATGGAAAATTATTAATACATTCTGCAAGCTAATGACTCCTCAGAACTTGAGAATGGCAACTCCAGAAAGTGGGACTCAGACAAGTATTCTTATACATGGTTCAGAAACAGCACAATAAGCTTTTAATAAGGCATGTTGGCTTGAGGTGATACCGATCTTAAATTTCACTCATTCTTTTTTCTTTTTTAAGATTTATTTATTTTTAAGAGAGAGCTCAAGCAGGAAAGGGACAGAGAGAGAGGGGGACAGAAGAGCTGAAACAGTCTCCACACTAACACCAGTGAGCCCAATGCGGGGCTTGAACTCATGAGTGGTGAGATCACAACCTGAGCCTAAGTCAGATGCTCAACCAACTGAGCCACCCAGGTGCCCCAAATTTCACTCATTCTAACACATCTATAAGTAAGTTGCATTTGTAAATAGTATCATTGGTTCCATATTAAATGTAATACATCGGTTGGCCTTGTTTGCAAGACTATCTAGGATGGTGGCCAGTGGAACGCTCCATTTTTCATGTTGATGTAGTTCTTTGCATAGGGTTCAAAGGGCTGGTTCTCTTTCTTACCTGAATCAAGCTGAAAAATTAAATTTGTAACCACGACCATGCCAGAAACATAAACTGACCATAACATTACAAGTAGGTAGGTCTTTTGACAAACATTCTGCTCCCCCTCTCCTTCCAAGAACTTGTTAGCATTGTATTTTCCTCGCCTCCTGGAAGTTAGTCATGGCAATGACTTGATGTGGCCATCAAAATTAGTGATGGGTGGAAGTTTTGTAAGCCTGTAGAGAATTCACCAAGCTTCCTATTCCTGTCTCATGGAAGTGTACGATGAGATGGAGCCTCCCTCAACCTTGGGAATCCCTGAGTGCCATGCAGAAATCCCCCCCACCCCAATGCTGCTTAACCCACATTAAACTCTGTGGCTTGAATAAGAAATGTTAGTTGTGCCAGGGAGATATTTGAGATGTTACTGTAACATAGCCTAGCTTATTATTTTTTTAACCTAGCTTATTATAACGCTACAAGCTATGCTTAATGTGAAAACACTGCCTAAAAGTCTGTCAAATTGTTGGTTTGGAACCTGATCTAGGAGCTAGGTTTGGGTTCCATTCCTGGCTCTGCTAGACCAGCTCAAGCGCACAAGTCTGGTTAAGCATGAGGTCCATTATCCCTTCAAGATACACATATTTACCCAGTCTGCAGGGGAAAGAATTTATTCTCAAGAGTCAGATTGCCTGAGTTGGAATCTCAGCTTTTATGCAGGGGACAGTTTTAGCCATATTTCTTAATTTATGTGGACATTTCCACATATGTACAAGGCACACAACAGTCTATATACCCTTTGGAATAAATGTAGAGCATTTAGGATAGTGCCTGGTAGATAGTGCTTTGTGGGTGTTAGCTGTTGGTGAGGAATGGCTCTTGCTGAACCTCTTCACCTCTACTCAGCCATACATCCAGAACATGCCAGGCACACCCATTCCTCTCTCTTCTATTGGAGAGCTGAGCGAGGAGCAGAAGAGTCAACCTGGGGCGGGGGGCGGGACATAGGTCCAATTCAAATTCTAAAATTCTGAGCCTTGGGGCACCTGGGTGGCTCAGTCGGCTGAGCGTCCTACTTTGGCTCAGGTCATGGCTCAGGTGCATGAGTTCGAGCCCCGCGTTGGGCTCTGTGCTGACAGCTCAGAGCCTGGAGCCTGCTTCAGATTCTGTGTCTCCCTATCTCTGCCCCTCCCCCACCCATGCGCGCGCTCTCTCTGTGAAAAATAAATAAACTTAAAAAATAAATAAATAAAATAAAATAAAATAAAATAAAATAAAATAAAATAAAATAAAATAAAATTCTGGGCCTGGCTCTAGATGAGAGCTGTAACAAAAAATGAAATTGAGAGCTATGAATATGTCCTAGGTTATAAGCGCAGTTAAACATCTAGAAAGTTCATAGTAAGTTTCAGAACTTGGAACTGACCAAGTCTAACTGGCTTCAATCAGCGGGAACCTGAAAGCAAAAGTCACATTCCCATTTCACACCCAAAGAATTCACTTAATACACGTTGGGTGTCTGGTTTATTCAAACGTGGGGCAGAGCCCCGCCCCCATCCAAGGAACAGGAAGTGAATAGCTGGGAGCTATGGGGCTGAACAGGGCAGGGCTGCGCAGGTTATCACAAGGTAAAAGGAGCTCAGCTGAGCAACCAGAGTTGCAGCATGGGGACCAGGCTGAGCAGGAGAAGCCCAATCCCATGGGGCATGGCCCCAGCACTCATGGCCAAGGCATAGAACCTGGCCACCTCCTCGTTGGGGTTGCCCTGGGCGGGGTCGAACCACATCTGGATGCAGCGGCCGCTCCCTCGGCTGTAGTTGCTGAGTTTGTAGGAGTGGCTCCAGATGCCCTCACAC